GATTCCTGAGCAAAAGCGTTATACTATTCATAATTTTAACAAACCTGATAACCTCAAACAATACGAATTAGAAAAGCATGTTAACAAGGTGTTAAATGTAATCATTAAACTTGAGGATATTTAGTTGAATAATTTATATTTTTCCTGTACGATCTTTTTGTTTATTTTAAAATAAATTTAGTATGAATCTAAATTTGGTCAGGTTCATAGTTTGAATGATGTTAATATATAAATATGGTTAATTCATATTAGTTTTGTTTCGCATTTCAAGATGTCATCTTTAGTTTTATCTCAACGCATATATGAGAAATTAAATTTTATTTATTTAAAAATAATAAAATTACAAATTCGTTTAAAAAATAAACCAACTTTATTATTTATTTTAATTTATTTGTTTTCTAATAAATTAAGTAATTTTCTTTCTGCTGTTTTTATGTTTGACAGAGTTTTTGAGATCAAGTTCTTCTTTTTGTAAATTCCGATAGGATACGTTCTTTTATTTTTTAACATTCTATTAAAATTATTCATTTCTTCCGATTTTTTATAATATTTAAATGTCTTGTTTTCATTCTTTTCAGAATTATTCATGTCTGTCGATTTTTGATAACAATATTCAAGCCAGTACATTCCATCTGAATCGTTCAACAGAGAATAATGAGATTGAAAATCCAGATAAAAAAGTCTTTGAGATAGATATAAATTAGGTAGACAATAAAGTGATTAATAAAATTTTTAAAAAGATAAAATAGGAAGAGGATGGCTTTAAGATAGATATAAATTGGAAAAAAATGAATTTTTTGAGATAGATATAGATCAGGAAGAGGAGGACGATGATTGCTTTTAACATTTTAACGGTTATTGATTGAATTGTAAGATTTTACAAAAGAAAGGAGGTATTTTTAACATTTTTTTTAACAATTATGCTTTAATGGGTAGGTTATTTAAGAGTTATTTTCTTGGATTGATAGTTTTTTTATTTCATGTGAATTGCATGTATAATTTATTTCTTCTGTATCTTTTATTCGTTTTCCTTCACATATTTTATTTCAATTATTTCTATTTACCAAATTAGAAATTTCATAGTTGTAGTACACATGTTAATATGTCTAAACAATAAAAATAATTTACTTTTAAAAAAATATGTAAAAATTATTTGACGACTCAGCTGATTACTGGATTTGGTTAATACTTATGCATGTATGATGACTCACATAGTTTGATTGACTATACAAATACCTGTGATTACGCCCAATTTTGTGATTTCTTACCCTTTCATTCATGATTCTGACCAGAGGAATGATAAAGAATACCCACATCTTAATATCTGAACAGGGAAAAGCATAGTCTCTATTACAGAGATGAATATGATGTGAGGCAGCGAATGATGCATGAGATAACCATCTTTTTGGTGAAGTGTATTCATGTTTCTCTGGTTAACATGAGCGAAATAGTCAATTTTTTTTTACTTTTCTTTAAAAATCCAACGAGAACGTAGTTGTGTATCCTAGTGCGATTCTTGCTAAAAACGATGATAAAAGTTGCTGGTATCGCTCTTTGAGTTGTGCTGTCGGGTAAAGTTTCTCTGTAACTCCTGGGCATGGTCATGTCTTCTCGTACGTTTTGCGTGAGAGACAGAGATCTAGTACAGAAGCGCTATCTAGAATTTACTTGAGTTTTGTGGGAACTGGGTCTCTCAGAACGATATTAACGGCAGCATTTCTTTGTAATTTCGATGGCCAGCTCAGACAAGTTGGCTCTTCTTTCTTGGTGAAAATTGAGCAAGTGTTCGATAAGGATGATACAATTTATGGTTTAGGGACCGTTAAAATCCTCCCTTTCAAAGGAACCGACGCTCGATTTTCTTTTTTTTTGAGTCAAGCGATATGTAACCTCCTTGTGGTTTGACTTGGGCAACGTGTTTTATCATTATTAAAAATACGGCTAATAACATATCAAATTTTATTTAATTTAATAAAGTACAGGATATCCATTGCGATTACTAGTTTTCCTATCATGTTCTAGTTTAAAATTTATCGCATCTTGTTTGGTTTTAAACTTTTTTTACTTTATATTTTTTATTTTCACACCATTGAAATTTCCATCTTTTCATATTTTAATATAAGATATTCCATTGTATCCACTAGTATTATTTTTAAACAAATTTCTATTTAAATTATTTTCTGAATATTGTAGTTTCTCTTAAATTTATCTCATGATTATCCAAACTGATTCGATTAATATGATCGATCATTTTATATTCTGGTCTCAAAAAATTTGTAGTTTGTTAAGAAAGTGATATTTGGCTTTTGTGTTTTAACCTCGAGATACAACTTGTTGTCAATCTTGACAGTACGATATTCGTTCAATTTAAGTTTGGGTTTATCAGGATTCGTGATCTTGTTCCAGGTCATAGCTGTTTCGAACGATAGAAACTTCGATTTCCAGTTCATTGTTGATCGATAAATTTTCTAATATAGAAATCTATTTTGGTAATTTCAAGTTTATAAATATGAATTTTTATATCGTCATTGAGTGAAACTTAAAATGAAACGAATTCACTCTATTTATTTTGCTTTCAATCATATTTTTGATCCATACACTTTTCAAAGATGCTCGTTGGTTTGTAAATCTTGGAAAAAAGCCCTTGACAAGCATCCTTTCTGGCGAACGGTTGTTGAGGATTGCGGCCTCAGAATTCCAAAAAGATACAAAAACTACAAATTCATCTTCATCAAAAACTACATGAAGATATGCCCATGTTATAAAGGATTGTTGAAGGAACATGAATTTGTTTACATTGTGAATTTCAAATTGCACATTTTGAGAGAGTATTGTCTATACAAATTACGCTACAAAGTTTACAGAGACAACTATGTTTATCGTAATCTTGTGAATTTTGTATTGGAAAAAATCTTAAATTTAATCAAAAAAAGCGACATATCAACCCATTGCACCTATCTTTTAAATTATGTTAGGAATTTAATTGATCAAATTGATAAAAAACACGGTAAAATTGAGAAGTATAAAAAAATTTGTGCTTTTGTCAAGATTGATTTTATTAAGGTTATCAAGTGTAATTTGTATTACATTATTGATGATAAACCATTATACATTGAAAAATTTGGCGGGTATGTTAGAGATTGGAATTATACAATTGATAACAAAGCAGGGTATAAAGATTTGTAATTCTAAATAAATATATGTATATTTTATTATAAAGAAATGATTCATTACTAAAAAATAAAAATAATTTTGTTAAGTAATTAGTTAAAATTCTTGAGTTATGAAAAAATTTCATAGTTTAGACCAGCCGGCCTGAGGTTTACAACAGAAGGCGGAGTAAATGAAATACGTCACGACTGATAGAGTCAGGAGTGTAAGTATTTCATTTATGAACGACTGGCGTACTTTTTCTCGTCGCTCAGATAGTGTTACAAGAAAAAGTCGATAATGCCATACTTATGAGAGACATAAATATTTTAGAAAAAAAACACCTCATAGTAGGAAAAAAAACTTTTCAACAAATTCTAAAATAGTCTAATATAAATGAACCAAGATGAAAAAAGCAAAAAAAAAAAAAGGTAGCCATGACACACTATTATAGCCTGTGCCAGGCATAAGGATAAAAATTATATAATAATTGCAACTAATTAATATATCTTGATTGTAAGACATTGCCTTATCATAGAGAACTCGTTCTAGGCACCGATGAAACTCAGGTATCTCCTAAATGGGAGTACCGATCTCTTCACCATATCGTAGTATCATATTGATAAACAAAACAAACACGTAGTTGCATTCTACTAAGTATGTCTGAATTAGGAAGGTGTAAATATTGCTGATCTTTTGAAGAGGGTAAGCCCAAATTCTCACTTTTTTTTGAAAATTTTAGAGAAAATGGCAAAAGCAAGAGAGAAATAAAAAAACCAAGAGGAAATACCAAAGAAATGTCTACCCAAGTCTGCATAGTACTAAGTTTTTTTGGTAAGTGATAAACTCTGGGCTTGTCGGCAGGTAGTATATAAGAACTACCTCTAAATAACAAGTGCTGTGTCTATAATAGATCCTTTTTTCCATGTCTTATATTAAGGCTCCTTTCGAACCAAGCTATAATGTACGTTATTCCAAGAAAAGTCTCCAAATTTCCAGGGAGTGTCGTTAGAAAAACCTATTTGTTGTTCTCTTTCTATTCTATTCTTTTGTATTACAAATTACTTTGTCAACAAAAAAGCTCCAACTTCTTATAAGCACCTTCTTTCCAGAATTTTGGAAGCAAAGGTGCCAACTCTTGCCAGTTATCTTGTTTCCTAATGCTTCTGGTTTGTATGCCAAATATGTAAAAGAGTCTCCGGAGTAAAAGGTTGACTATAAAATAGAAGAGATTGTTTCTCTTTGATCGATAATATCCTTGACTTGGTAGGAGGAGATAAGTCTGTGGTTTGTTATGATTTTGTTCTGATATTAGGAGAAGATAGAGAATAGAAGATCAATGATATGTAGTAGTATTTTTATTCGTTTAAGAGCCAGTATGAGAAGCAGTATGTAAACTATATTATAAGTCTTCAACATGTCTTGGGCCAGGATCTAATAAGTTTTGTTAACTTAACTATAATTATATTAATAAATAATTCCAATAAAACTTATTAAAATTTAATTTTTATTAATAAAAATACAATATTTATATAATAAGCTTTATTAACTAATATATACCTATCAAAGTGAAATTCACTCTCCCTGACGATTACTTGGTACAAAAATTAGTAAGAAGAAAAGCGTCTGTTTTCTAATTTACAAGACAACACAATAGTGCTAGATACTAGCAGACAACAAAAAAAGACATAGACACAAGGTAGTCTCACAATAGCTAGTCGACTTGCAAGTGGAAAAAAAAAAAAAGAGCAAAACTCCAAAAACACAGCGAAAGTGATTTCAAAAGCTGAATGTGACAAAATCTAACAGAAGATTGTATAAGCAATAAAAGTCAGTTCAGCAGTAGAAG